ATTAGTAGTTGTTTGCAGTAAGCAACTGGATTTTTTTAGAGTTGAAATTCACAAGCCACTGTGAACCCCAAATCTATTACTGAAGTGAGATCCGATTCAAGATCAGCTGCTTGTTCTAGGCGATCGAAAAGAGAAGACTTTTTGTCAAGACAGGAGTATAAAGTTGAGTCATCAGCAAAAAGAGCTACTTCAGATGAAAGGTTGTCAGGAAGATCGTTTATGTAGATAAGAAACAAAACAGGGCCCAGGATGGAACCTTGGGGAGCCCCAGAAGTTACTGGAAATAAAGAAGAGTGTTGGCCTTCAAGGATGACTTTAATAAACCGGTTAGAAAGAAATGATTTGATAATCTCAAAAACTCTCCCAGAAACACCATATGAAGCAAGCTTATGGAGAAGACCAGCATGCCAAATTTTGTAGAAAGCTTTAGATATGTCGAGAGCAATAGCCCTAGCCTCACCGCCTCCATCTTATGCACGATAAAATCTTTCAGTTACAGCAGTTAGCAAGTCGGCCGTAGAGCGAGAGGATCGAAAACCGTATTGATTGTCTGAAAGTAGTTTATTTGACTCAAGATGAGATGTTAGGAATTTGTTGATCAAAGACTCAAAGACCTTGCTAATAACAGAAAGAAGACTGATCGGACGATAATTGGAGGGGTCAGAATTTTCTCCAGAGTTTTTGAATATTGGAACCACAGATGCCATTTTTCAACAAGCAGGAAAACAAGACTCAGTCAAACACTTGTTAAATAGTTTAGAGAGAATTGAAGAAAGTTCTGGAGAACAATTCTGCAAGACTGTGACAGGAATGTTGTCTGGACCACAAGCTGTAGACGAGTTTAATTGAGATATGACTTTAGCAACCGAAGCCGGAGTGATTTGAATGTCTAACAATGGGTCAACCTGTTTGACTGGAATGGAAGGAAGAGAATGTCCATAAGATTCAAGAGTGGAATTAGAAGAAAAGTTCTTTGCAAATAGTTCTGCCTTATCCTTGGGAGAGGTAATAAGATCAGTCCCATGAATGAGAGATGGAATGTTAGATCTACCCTTGTTAATAATGCTGTTGAAGATTTTCCAAAAGTCTTTAGAGCCTAACTTCTGCGATAAGATGCCAGATTTAGTGAACTGAGAATAATGGAGTTTAGCATCAGGAAGCACCTTTTTACATTGATTTCTTGCAATAATAAATAGCCGTTTGTTCTCAAGAGAGTTGTTCTTTTGAAAAAGATGAAAAAAATGATTACGATTGGATATAGCAGCCGCACAAGATAGAGAAAACCATCAAGTAGAATGAGGCTTGACTTAAAACCGACGCGAAGGAACAAAAGCTTCCATTCCATCCTGAATTCAGAAGGTTACGTAGGAGGCGCATTTGTCAGCTGAGAGAGAAAAAACATCAGCCCAAGGACCATCACGAAGAAAATCACGAAAAGAATCCTAGTCAGCTTTAGGGTAGTAGTAGGTGGTGCGATGATAAGGTGAGCCCAAAAAAGAAGTACGAGAAGAAAGATTTATAGAGATCATTGCATGGTCAGAACCACCCAAGGAAGAAAAGGGAGAAACTGAACACAAGCTAGGATCAGAGACAAGACACAAGTCAAGGAGTGAAGGTAAATGATTAGGGTTGTCAGGAAAACGAGTCACAAAGTTAACTATCTGAGTAAGAGATTGAAAAACGCAGAAGTTAAAGGCTTTAGTGCCAGCAGGATCAGTGGTGTCAGAGCCAAGCCATTCAGTGTGATGGGCATTAAAATCACCAACAACAACAATATTGGCAGAGGGGTAAAGAGAGAGGGCATGGTCAATTTGATCAGAGATAACATCTAAAAGAGTGCAATCATGGGAAGAAGGAGAACGATAAAGAACAAAGAGAAAGGTGATAGAGTGAAGAGGAGCTAGGCGAAAGCACATAAAAGAATGGTCAAAGGATTCAAACCTGATTTCACGACAAATAGGGGAACTAATGCGTATGTATACCCCTAAACCTAGCATGTGACTATTGGAGTCTTTACGAATCAAAGGATAGTACCCATCAACACTGATCTCTGAAGAAGGAATTGCAGAATTTAAATTTGTTTCACTGAGTGCAAGCAAGTCTGGCGAATTTTGCAGGAGGTAAGACTCAACTGACGGAAAGATAGCGAATATTTGTAAAAGATATATTAAAACATTTAGGTGGTGGGAATAGTTTTTTAGGTTTAAAATTTTTGGTTACTTTGGTCATAATTTGGGTTTAATGAGAACTTGACTCGTTCATAGATAGAGCACAGCCTCCTAATCAATGAGCTATGCAGTTGTCTCAGTCCTGTTAATTAACCCTAAGCCGTGACTAGTATTGTTGAAATATTATTAATTTTTACTTTTTTTTTGCTTTAATTCAAAAAGCAATCAAAACCACTGCAATTTTAGGACTTTAAATTAGATAATTTCAATAAAAATCACTGGGTAATTTGAGTATCTCATATTAAACAAAATCTTTAAACAAAATCAAAACTAAATATGTTTATGTGTGGTTTTTCTAACAAAAATGCTAACATAATTTTCTTTATGAAAAATTATGAAAATAACTTTCATTATTTTAGCATAAAAATTTTGCGCCGCATATATTCATGTGTGATGACATAGATTACACAAAACTACAAAAAGTTGATGAAAACAATAAAGACAAAGAAGATTTACAATCCAATAAAGACAAGATGGAAACCTAGTTAATGGAGCTAAATGTAAAGAAAAATAGAGTTAATGTCAACTCAAAGCTAGTGTTGGGAATACTGGTATCCAAGATCCCTGTACTGTTTGGAACAATCTAGAGTTGCCGAAATGCCAGTATTGAAAAAGTCAAATACCATTATTTCAGTATTCAAAACAACTTCACCATTTGAAATAATTTTACCAATATAATGTTATATAATTTTAACAATATAATGTTTTTAACTACAAAAAATATTTGCATTATTATTTCTCAACACAAAAAAAACAACAGCAATCTAGTATTCTATGAAAAGTTTAAAAGTTTAATTGATCTTATAAATAGAAACAAAATTCATTGTACAAAATTAAATTGTTCTTATATAATATAAGTTGATATGTGGTTATATATATACTTTTACCTACTATAATAATTAAGTAGTGCGCTAAATGCAAATTGTGTAAGAGAATAATAAAAACAAATGGAGGTTTTACAGGCAGTCTTCATACCCATTTAACAATTTATGAAATCAATTTATTAAAAAAAGATGTAGGTGGCACCACTGTTTTAGATTCTTCAGATTTTGTACAGAAATCATACCCTTCTGTAACTATGAACAACTTCTTTACAAGTGATAAAATGTATGGCTATTTGCCAGCTATTTTAGCTAGGATGACTGTGTGATGGTTTATCATTCAACATTATCTGCACGTCATATGATACCAGAAAAGGCTTAATAGCTAGAGGCTTTTCTAACATACCAAAAGATTACAAAACAATTTAAAATGGTCTTAGATTAAGAGAATTTTGAATCTAGGATTGATTTGTGTTTTTAGAACAATTCCAGCAGAAAAATGTGTTGAGCTTGTGAATGATTGTGGTGATTTTGAGCTTTTGATGAAGAATATTGTAGGTATTACCACTAATAGCGCTGCAGCTATGACAATGGTTGGCAGGTTAATTGAAGCACATTAGCAGCTATGTTTAGTACATAGAATTCAGTTAGCTATTATCAAAGATATTGCACACCCAGAATTGCATCTGCCGAATACAATGTCTGGGTGTGGCCAACTTGCATCATAAAGCTGCACCTATAGCAACAACATCTATATTAGCCAACGTTTTAAATTCAGATACAAATATAACATTCAATGTCAATGATGATGAAGATAATCAAAGAAATGAAATATCTCCAACTTTACAAGAAAGGTTGGAGAAGCTAATATCAAAAAAAAATTTGCACCAGATTATCTCAGAGTGGAATTGACTAAAACAAAAAAAGATCTCACATGCTCAATAAAAAAAGAAATGTCATTTTTTGAGACAAATGGCGTAAGGGGCTAATACTTAACTTTATTATATAATTATTTGCTAAATATTCAACTGATCAGTAAAATCAGAGAGAGCTTAATCTGCACCAGAATTCACTAAACTATCTATTGTATTTCTGACCTCAGAAATAACATAGATAGTTTAAATAGTTGGTTGTTGATATTTTAGCGATATTTTAAATAGTTGGTTGTTGATATTATATTCTGTTGATATAATATCAACAACCAACTGCAGGAAAAGCAGAACCTCCTTTTCTTTCTTTCTTATGACTAACATTTTACTAAATTTTATTTTTATATTTTTTATTTTTTAAATAAAAAAATTTAGTTTTTTTAATTGCCAAACAATTTTTATATTAACTTATTTATTCATTCGTAATACTATAGGAAAAATAATAATACTAGTATTAATATCAAAATCCCAGGATTACAAATTTTCAATAACAAATTACTGATATTGGATTTTTGGTATTCCAGGTATTCCCAACTTTATTTAGAACCAAGAAATATGATTACCTTATCAAATCAAAAGACAGCACGATCAACTAAGTAGTTTTAGAAGTCAAGACTTCTAAAACAACTCTGTTGATCATGCTGAAGATTAATTTTTTTTGATCAAATTTTTCATACAATATAAATAAGATAGTAAATAATACTGTGTGAAAAGTTGAAGTTGCTATGGAAAATATTTGTTTACATATTTAAAAAAATACACAAAGAAGACAATAAAAAATAATTTTTATCAATTTTTTCTAAGTGGAGGGACCCTAAAATTTTTATACTTTAAAAAACTACTTGGTACATATATTATCTTTTTCTTAGTCTAAACCTCAATGTGAAAGTTGGTGTAATTTTGTGGGAAATAGGACACCCTAGTATTGCACAGTATTGAATAGTACTGAACAGTATTGAAAAGTAACCATTACAATTTTTATTTAATTCAATAAAAAATTAATTGCGATAAAAGCAAAATACCTTTTTCATATTGGCTATGAAATTATCACTACTTTCAAGCAGCCTGTTCTTCATTGCATCAGATTCCAATGGCGTATCTTGAACCTCTGGTTTAATCTTAATAAAAAAATTTAATTAAACAATGTTATTTTTAATGATGAAACAATCAAACATGTGGTGCGTCTTTTTGTTACATGTTATGAAATAATTCTTTTTGTTATATGTTATGAAATAATTTTTTTTTATTGTTATAATTGTATTATTAAACTAATAGTGTTTAAAACAAATTCTAATTTTTAGCCAATAATTTATATAGTAAATTTTACTTAATTGCTAAAAACAATTTCTTGATATTTTTTATTTCAGAAAAATTTTTTACGATTAAAAGGGTTGTATTGAATCCAGTGTTTAAATTTCAAAGAACAAGCAGTTTGCAACTTTTTTTTTAAATGATAAACATTTAAATGTTGAACTAATTTTAACCAGTGTTAATTACCTGTTCAGTATTGTTTAAATCACATGAAGAATAGATGTGGTTTAATTTATTCAGCTAAGTATATTTTAATTCAATTAGTCAACCATAAATCAACCATTACAAAATATCTAAATTAATTTTTTATTTTATGTTTAAAACAAAAAATTACATCATTCTCTTGAACGTAAAAGTGGTCTACACAACAAAATCTAAAACTTTATCAACTTCAAAGAAATGTTGAAAATGTTGAAAGTCTACAATGAATATTAACCTTAAATATATTTTGTTAGGATGAACATTGAAACAATGGGCTTTGAACTACTCACAGAAATAATCAAAAGGTTTTGTTTCCATTTTTGTTGAAGTTAAATGAATAAAATTGTTGTTTTCATGGTAATCATTTGAAGTCATTCAAATTTATATACTATTTAAAAAATTATTAAAAATAAATATTAAAAAAGTTTATTTAAGATCATTTAAAAATTTTTTATTTTTGAAATTCATGAATTATTAAAAAAATATTGAAAAATATGTATTTAATTTTCAAAAATATATTTATTAACTAAAGTTAAAAACTTATTTCATATTTGTATATATAAATGACAGTTTTTTTAAATATAAACAATATAGTATTAAACAACACTGCAGCAGCAAAAATAAAATAAAATAATACTTTTTCTACAGAGTTTTCTTTTATATCCAAATACTTGGGAACCTAAAATAGCTTATAAGAAATAAAAAAATATTCAAAAGATCCAAATTAATTTCAAAATTATTTCAAATTATTATTGAATAATTTGAAATACAATATTAATATAATATTTTTATTGAGATATGTTAAACAGCAATATAAATGATTACCTTGTTCATAGCAGTAATAAAATTTTCGCTATTTTCTAATATTTTTCTCTTCTTTTCATTGAATTTTGTTTCCATGTCTTGAATTTCACTTTCCAGTTTTCTCTAAACATCAGTTAAGCATCTTACTTTTTTTATAACTCAATTTATTCCTTCACTTTCTAACTTATTGCATGTTTAATACATTACATTATACAATTTTTATATTTTGTCCTTAATTAATTAAAAATTAACTAGAAAACAAATTAATTTGAGCATGATATTTCATCAACCAGATAGCTTATAATTTTCTAGAATTCTCAGATAGCTTATAATTCTTTAGAAATAAAAGAGTTAAACAATCAAAAAAATGACCACTCTCTTTAAGACATTCTTTCTGAACAAGATGATTTCTTTTTTTTACTAGAATAATGTGTAGTTTTGTCAATTTTCATTTCGTAATTTTGTCAAAATATACTTCCTAACAACTTTCTGTGTCCTTAAAATTATTGAACAAGTAATTCCTTACAGGATACATTTGAAGATAAATTATTAAAAAAAAAAAGAATGTCTAACTTTAGATTGTACTAATAGTATTATTACTAACTATTTTTATTTTTAATCATTACTATTATATAAACTAATTAAATTAATCAGAAACTTAAGATAATTCCTTCATTTTCTAAAAACTTTCTTTTAGAAATATACATTTTATATGTTTTAACACCATATTTGCAAGATGGACAACTAACAATTAGATGTTATGACAACATCTAATCACTAATTGTCTATCTTGCAAATATGGTGTTAAACACTGAGATTTTAATTTTATTAATTTTGATTAATGGTTGTTTGTTTTATTACAAATAAAGTATTGTAAACAATTATGCAAAGTTAAAAAAAAAAAAAAACTTTAGAAGATGACTTGTATTATTTGCTTTGTTTCAAAAGTTGCGCTAATTTCTTAGTATCTAATTAGCACTTTAAATTTTAAATTTATTAATCTACATATTTGCTACATGATGTTAATAATTTCACAGCTTTATACCTTTAGAATGGGTAATTTCACTATTTTGAATTTTTAAAGTAAATGAAATTTGTTTTTTTTACTTTTTTAATTTTAGTTCAAGTACACTGTAAATTCAACAGCTTGGTCAATCCTAAATCGACATAAGCAAAGGCTATTGCAAAGGTCACTGAACAAAATAATAAGATGCAAGCAACTAAAGCAATTCGTGTAGCCATTTATGGTCTTCCTTGACAAAAAGTGATGACAAAGCTGCTGTAAAAGGTGTTACTGAGGCCATTAAAACAGATTAAACTCACCTAACAGTCTATAAGCTTCCAGCAAATATAAGTGCTCAAAAGGACTCACTAGCTACTTGACAGTTTGTTGTCCAATTTGAAGATGCGAAAACTAGAAACAATATACTAGCTTCCGAAAAAAATTAAAAATTGATGATTACAGAAACAAAGTTTTTATTAGTCCAGACCAAACTCTTTCTGAAGTTGATACTTTTAACAAGTTTAATAAAGACAGGAAAAAGTACTTTAATAAAAAATGACGCTCTCAAGACAAATAAAGTATTCAACCAGTCCTTTCGATTTGTCATTCAAGGAAGGAGGCTCAAATGCATCAACACACAAAAAACAAGCAATATTAACGGTACTGAGAAAAACCTGTTTGGTGACTAAAAAGAAGCTTCCGCAGCAGCAGGACTATCACATGTCATTCTAAACAAAAATAATCTTCATCAGAATATATCAAAATTGCTTCTACATCAATGCAACTTCACTCAATTAAGACAAAATTATCAAACTCCAATTATTAGCTGAACAAAACAAATACGATCTTATCTCTATAACTGAAACTTGGTTTGATTTTACTTCTGCTCCATCAATCAATAACTATATGCTATATAGGAAAGATAGAATCAGTTATGAAGATGGTGTAGCAATTTATGTTCAAAATGATATAATGGCAAATGAACTAGACAATTCACAGCTAAACAAAAACTTTAAACGCGAAGATCTAAACAACTTTGGGTTGAAATAAAATTACCATCAGAAAAATCTCTAGTAGGTTGTATTTATCCCCCTGAGAGGAACTTGCCTACTGCTTCAGTACAATTAAATGAAATTCTTTGTGCTCTTGGTTATGCAAGATAATTAACTGATAAAAAAGTATATAACGGTTTAATTGTGACAGGTAACTTCAACTTTCCAGGCATAACTTGGCAATCTGACTGGAGTATCACATCTGATAACGATAATAGTCTTGAATACAGGTTTAATGATGCTCTCTGTAACAACCACCTTTACCAGCATGTCATATGTCCAACTATTAAGAAAACTGATAGAAATCTAAAAAAACACACTTGATCTAATTATATCAGAATCAAAGGATAGAGTCAACAAAGTTTTAACAGGCCTTATTTTGGTACAGCCTCTCATGGGCATATATATCTTGCTGGCAGCACAATTTAAGCAGTAACAATCAAAATAGCTTTAAAAGCAAAAAAAAATCCTTTATAAATGTGCTATATATGATGAAATAAACACTTTTATAAATAACATAAATTGGCAAGCTAGATTTATGGATCCCAATGTTCAAGAATGTTATTCTATATGGTCTAACCTCTATAATGAAGCATGTCATAAGCTTATTCCAAAGGCATCAAATAATACTGCCAAAAAAAGGCAATTCTGGATCACAAACAAGTGAATGAAGCTAATTAGACTAAAAAAAAAAGCTCTAGTAGAAAAATGCAAACTCAAAGTGGAAAAATGCGCGCATCAAGGAGTATAGAAATGTCAAAAAGGAGGTAAAGAAAAACAGCAAACGAGCATGTCGTGTCTATAAGTCAAAGATAGCTGACAACAAGCACAATCCAAAAAAAATACTTGCACATATTAATAGTAAATGGATAGTGAGCAATCAAATATGGGCTTTAACCTCGGATTCAAATCAAATGAACAGTGATAGAATAACAAAAAAAACATTCTCAACAACCAATTTCAATCAGTTTTTACAAAAGAACCACTGACTCAGCCACTAAAACCTTTTGCATCCAAAACAAATGTTTTAACTTCGGATATAACAATTGACCGAAATATTGTTCTCAAACACCTAAATATGCTTGTTGGAAACAAGTCAATGCGCAATGATAACATCAGTCTGTTTATTTTAAAAGCATGTGCCACATCAATAGCAGTTGCACTAACTTGGATTTTTTAACTTTCAATAAAATCTTCTGGAAAGGTTCCATCATGTTGGCTAAAAGCTAATGCTATACCTATTTATGAAAAAAAGGTAGCAAAACAGATTCAGCCAATTACAGGCTAATATTGCTCACTTATGTTCCATGCAAACTTATGGAAAAATAGACAAATCATAATCGATCATTTGGTAAAAAACAAATTGCTTTCGAAAACTCAACGTGGTTTTATTTCAAAAAAGTCTTGCATAACAAATCTTTTAGAAACAATGGATTTTGACTCATAGCAAATCAAAGAAAGAACCAGTCGACCTAATTAGCATTCAATAAAGACCAATAGCATTCAATAAAGTTTTGCAAATAAAACTGCTGTAAAAGTTTGAAATATATGGTATAAATGGCAATCTCTAAATTAGATAAAAGCCTTCTTAATAAACCGCAAGCAGTGTGTTATACTTGGAGATTCAATATCTGAATGGATTGATGTAACTAGCAGAGTTCCCCAAGGTTCTGTGTTATATTTGTTAAAGGGATCACCAACTGCAGAGACAAGTTGTGTTCATATTAATGAAAATGTTTAAAAAAACGTTTGGGCTAAATTTTATTGATTTAAACCATGTATAATGAATGCACACCATTAAATTTAAAATTCACATTTTAGTCGAAGCTTGCCGTCTCCATTTTTTTTTGGTTCTCAGAATTTATACGTCAGTATATGACATCATAATATGATGTCATATACTGATGTATAAATTTTTTCTTTTAAGATGTTGTATTATTTTTTTGCCACAATCAAGTAACTGATTAAACTGATTAAAAAACGAGTAACTTGAATAAAACATATAAACTGAACTAAGTAGAAAATAAATATTAAACGAATTATTTAACTAATAAACATTCAAATCAAACTTAAATTAAAAAAAATTAAAGTTAAAACAAATATTTGTACTAAAATATACAAGAAATAGTTATAATTCAAATATAAAAACAAAGAATCACATTAACCTGTTCGCTATCAGCCAAACAAAAATCTTTTTATAGCAACCGCGCATTTTTTTGAATAACATTTGAATAGCATAACATTGACAATTAATTAAAACTCGATAATAATAAAGTTTTTAACAAGCATCATTAAACAATAAGAAATGCAAAGTGCTTAAAACCATAGTTTTTATAAGTAGTAACTAAAACATTAAGTCCAAAACAAACCTTGTCTAATGAATAAAAAGAATATTTTTTCTACAAAATACTTTGATAATTACTTAACTTAATACTTAACGCTTCTACAAGTTAAGTTTTACAGAGTTGTTTACTGTTTTATTTTATAACTAAATTTAAAGAAGTTTTTTAAATGAAATATTGTTCAAGATTTTTTAACTTTGTGATAACTTTTTTATAATTACATAATATAGCTCTTATTTTTTCTTGATTGTGTAGAGGATTAATTAAACCTTTAAAACAAACAAATTCTATGTGTCTAGAATGGAATTTTATGTACAAAACAAGATAAATTGTAAAGCATACTGGAAAAATTCTAAAAAAGAACTGGGAATTCTAATATCTTAGAATCTTAAATAAACTCAACAAAGCAATATAGCTGCAAACAAAGCGAATAATGCTCAGAATTTTAAACACATGATCGTATCAAGAGACATAAACATTTGGAAAAAAATTTTACTGCATATATTAGAGCACATATGGTTTGCCATTCAAGCTTGGAACCCTTACCTTGATAATGACATTAAAAAAAAGAAAAATAAAGACTACAAAATTCGATGTTAAATCATGAAATTAACCACTCTTGAAGACTGACAGAAAAGAGACTTATTCAACAATCTAAGCTTCTCAATAATTTAGACCTAATTGATTGGCAAATAAATTACTCAACATCGAATCAGATTTTATTGTTAGAAACTGCAAAGTCAGACATAAGTTTTTTAACAACCATCTAGTCAATGACTGGAATGCTTCGCCAGATAATGTCATAGAGGTAACAGTTGATAAATTTAAAACAACTACTGAACAGTTTTCAGTCTGATTTTCAGTTACTACATCTGATCATTTACCGTAAATGCCACACCAAAATGGCTGACATACGAGTTGGGTACAGACACGTATACTCAGATGATGATGAGTTTAATAAGGCTGTGGTTTTGTGAAACTTAACTAACTAAATAGTTTATTTATTTTTTAAAATTTTTAATAAATGACATTTGGTTATATAATATAAACAAAATAATCACAAAGTTTTCTCGCTAATACTTTAGATTCATATTTAATGGTTGAAACTTTTTCTAAATTCTATATCATCAGGACATTAGCCAGGAAAAAATCTTATTCAGCATTTGCTCAACATTCAGAATTTAGGTGCTGTCAGCTGGCAAAAAACTTTAAAAAATGTATCGTCAGCCCTGATTGTGTCTTTTTTATATTTATTTTAATTTTAATATTAAAAATGAAAAAAAAAATTTGCTTACTAGTATTAAATTTTTATGAAATTTTCTTTGACAATTTTTACAATTCTCTTGCAACTTTTTAAATATCTGAAAATACTTTTTGAATAATAAAAACAAAAAACACTTATATATTGTAAGGAAAGTTTTTGAATACTTAAATTTACAAACACTTAGATATTTTGAAACTTCAAAATTTACATTTTTTACATAGAAATATATTGTTCATAAATTTTTGCCTAGTACAGTTTAGCTGTAGAAATTTGCATTTTCTAAGTTTTTTATGTTAGATTTCCTAACAATTGTTTAAATAGGCAATAAAAACTTAAATGCATTGTATTGATAAGAACCACTTAACTATGATAAAGCAACTATACAAGTTTTCAATATAGTAAACATCATGTACTCTCTTTTAATTTTCTTGCTTGCATTTTAATTTTCTTTTAATTTTCTTGCTTGCATTTTAATTTTCTTTTAATTTTCTTGCTTGCATTTAAGCATAAACTGATATTTTATACCAAAAAATAAACAAACCTGATGTTGCATAAGTGACTGAACTTGCTTTTTGAGATTTTCTAACCTTGCTCTTGTGACAACTGTTGTAAACAAATTATTTAAATGATTTATTAATTAGAAGTAAATAAAAAATTTTCAATGATTTATTTATTAAAAGTAAATAAAAAATTAGGTCAATGATTTTTTTATTAATAAATAAAATCACTAGTCATTATCTACTGTTGCTAATTATTTATATTTTTATATATTTTTTTTAAATAAATTTAATATTTGTTAACTTAGTCAAAAATCCTTTAGATAAAAAATCTTTTAAACAAATTATAATTTATAATTCTTTAAACAAATTATATTTATTATAACAAATAATATATTATAAATCACCTACAAAATTGTTTTTGTAGGTGATTTATAATATATTATTTGTTATAACAACTTTATAATTATTGTCAAACATACAATATTATAAAATCGATATATTTATTATATATATATATATATATATATATATATATATATATATATATATATATATATATATATATATATATATATATATATATATATAAATTATAGGTATAACATATAATTTTTATAATATTTATAAGAATATAAAACTATGTAAAAATAATATTATTTATTGTCTATTACATTTATTTGTAAATTAAAATAAAAGATAAAAAAACATTTTATAGAAACTTGAAATTTCAAAAATAATTCTATTTTAATCATTATCTTTAATTAATTAAATTTACTTAATTATTTTTAAATGATGGATGAACACATAGCTACAAGAGGCTGCAATAACATCAATTGATAACTGTAAAATTTCATCCTTTACAAGCTCATACAAAACTCCTGTACTTGCATAAAATTTTTTCATAAATTTGTTGCAAGTTACAGGAGTTTTGTATGCCAATTTTCAGGCAGACTGAGAAAATGTTTTCATAAATTTTCTCAGTCTGCTTGAAAATTGGTGAGTTTTTTTAGAGAATAAATGGTTTTTAACTTTGCATTATTGCAGCTGAAACAAAAAAATTGTCAAATCAAGATACCAACATGATAATTGTTGGTTTACACCAAACCAATGAAAATGATAATGTTCAAGAAAACCTGAAAAAAAAGAAACCAGCCATATTTATTGTATCAATTCAAGTAAAAAAAATACTACACTTAATTCAAATACAGTCCTGTTTCCTTTAAAAATGAAAGAGATCATGCAGCTGTACTACACAAGTGTAATCACAATGAAGCCACAGGTTATCACAGAGTCTATGCTTGTGAAGTCAGAACACCTGCAGAACAGGCTGAGTTTAATGAAAAAAATTGCAACCACAAATTAGCTTACTTTTAAATAAACTGCTTCATATTGTCTTCTATTGGAAAGCTAGAAAAATTCACTGAAAGACTCTGAACTGCGCCTCAATGCTACTGTATGCCAATTTTAATCGTAAACGGTTTGAGGCAGTGGATTTGGCAGAAGCGTAACAATAGTCACATATGAAAGAAAGAAATAAATTAGTGACAAAAAATTCTAAAAAATGTCTTGAAAGTTGTGATCCTACTCAGCTTGTGATTTTTCCGACATAATGAAATTCATATGACCAAAAAATAATATAGATCTATTTATAACAAATAATCACGATAGATTAACTAATCTTCTTGAAGAAGACTCATTTGGTCATACTCTTGAAGAAGTCTCATTTGGTCATACTCTTGAAGGTTCACTATTATATCACAGATAGATTTTCACATTATATCAAAAATAAAAACATGAAAAAAACCTTAATCATGCTACATATGGAACAGAACTGTTTACAAATCATTTAAAAACAACATAGTCTTATGTGATGGGTTAAAATATACAGTTTTCAATAAAAAGTCTACAGTTTTTATTTGGTGAGGGATCCTCGCCAAATGAAAACTGTAGACTTTTTATTGAAAAATACGAGGCTTTATACTCCAAGTACAACAGTGAGAATACAATAAATGAGAAGTATGGTTCACACAAGAAGTAATTAAAGTAATAAAAAGAAACTTGTATATTGCAACAGGAAAAAAATTACATACAAATTACAAAAAGCACACAAGCTAACCAGAAAGAAAGTTAAGACAGCTGTAAAACATGCAGTAATGGAATACAAGCTTAATCTAGGAAAAAGTAAAAACCATAAAAATTTGTATTTTCATATTTGTATGGACCAATCTGAATCTAATGGACTAAAATAGCAAACCACTTCAAACTATATGTGGATAACATGAAAACCATAGAAATCATTAAATCTTAATCACCTAATTGATGCCTCATGGCATCAATTGGATGCCATCATGGCATCCAATTGATGCCATGAAATGATTGATATTGAAACATAAAAGAGAGTCATGCCATCATGAAAGAGAGGATGCCATCATGGCATCATGAAACATAAAAGAGACTGGTGTTGTTTTTCTTTGTTGAATGTAATTTTTATTTGATAATAAAATAAATAAACTCAAAATCATATTAATATATAACTATTACATATAGAATATATTAATTTCAATTATAATTATTTTTATTATTAACTACAATTAATAATATATTATAATTTTTGAATAAACTAAAATTACAATTTATTACTTAAAAAAAAAATTTAATTTTTATATTTTATATTCATACCTGATTTTATATTAGGTACTGAAGTTTCTGTAAATATTTCAGCAATTAACCGATGGTTGCGTTGATATCTTGCAGCTGCTACATTCTTTGCAGAAAAATCTTCTTCTTCTAAAAGATTTTAATAAATAATTTTTATTTTTTAAAAATAACTAGAAAAACTGCTATCAATAGTATGTGTATCAAACAGATGTTTGATACACATACTACTAACCATGTCAACCTGTATCAAACAGCTAAGAGTCAACTTGTATCAAACAGGATGAACCCTAATACACAAGCAAATGTCAACTTCAATATTTAAAACATGTTGTTATTAATCATTTAATCCATGAAATCATTTAGCTTGTGAAAAAATTTTTCTAAAACTTTTGTAATTAAAATTATATTATTTCAATTTTAAAATTGTGAAAGTATGGAGCAAATTTTTGTAATATAATTTTATTTAAAAAAAAAAATGTTTGTTCATTGTAATGTAAAAAAAGAGTTTCTATTTATTTTGTTATTTTGTGTGGGCTAGTACAGAAGAAATAATGATAAGATATTCATTTATAACTGTTCTGTAGATTGATTAACATAAAACATGGGAAAAAAATGACTTGTATTTTCAATTTTTTTTTTAATTAAATAATAGAACACAAAAATAATTTTTTGATAAATATTTTTAACCAATTTTTCTGAAAAATCAGAAAAAATGGTTAAATATCTCTTCTGTAAATTATTTGTTATAAAACATTAAGGAAAAATTTATTATATATGAAAAAAGCTTTTAAAATTTTCATCTATCTTCAAAATTTTATTTTGTAAGTATATACACATATGGTAAAACATATATAGTATAAATGTATACAGCACACATATAATACAAATGTATATAACACACAAATAATACAAATAAACCCTGATTTTGAAAACGTTACGAGTCACAAAATTAAAATTTTACACGAGAGTCAAAAATGTTTCTTATATAAAGTAATGTGTTTACATCTTACATCTTAAATCAGAGAAACTTTTTTTCTGAAGAATCAAGTTTTCCTAAAAAAAATATTTTTCAAAATTGGACTTCAAAATACATGAGACAAATATCATCTCAATAAGGAATGTTGTTGAAATAAAAAGTACTTTACATTCAATAATTAAATTTATTTAAAGTAATGTGGTAAAAACAATAATTAATAAAATCAAAGCACATAAAATAACCTAATAATACAATCATTTTCAAAATCACATAAAATAACCTAATAATAATAAACATTTTCTACATCTTCTGTGTCGTCTGTTGCCCATTCTAATATATTTTCATAAAAGCTGGTGTGTTCTTTTGGTATGTACTGGATAACTTTTTGTATGTCGTCAATTTTTTTTAATTTACGGTTACTGAACCACAATAAGCCAGGTTGATTGGTAATGCTAAGGGTAGCTTTCCTTTCCTCAAATAAAAGGTGTGCTTTATAAAACCACCGATAAAGTTTTAACATGTCACATATCCCGGCCTAGCAGATTCATATATAAACTCCGAAAAAAAAGACACATTTAAAAAAATGGAAAGAACGAATGACTCCTTACAGGAAAAAAATAAATTTTTTGGTACTTATTTATTAATGTTAAGCTCATTAAAAATCTAATAACTGAATGATTCATATTTTGACCTGCACAACCATCTGAAAATATGTACAGTTCTTTCACCTGTTCTTTAACGTTCTTTTCTATGTATTGCTCCAAAAAAGAACATACTTCGTTTGATTCTTTTCTGGCTTCATGATATGAAAAAAATATCGACTTCCCAGTTTTGAAATCATGGATGCAAAATTCATTCACCCAAAGCTGTCTATAATAATAAATCTCTTGTATTGGTATGCGAGATAATGGGAGATTTTGCATGTAATCGATACATATGCCATGTGGATCATTCCTTTCTTGACAGAGTTTTTGCACATCTTAAATGACATTATAAAATTTCTTGGCTTATTTTTTGTAAACCATCAGTTCATAAAACTGCCACTTTCTTCGCAGTGTCATTTAAAAGAGCACTTTTTATTTTCTGAGATTTCCTCACATGTTGAACATCTACTTGTGGTCTTTCTGAGATAACTTCCTCACATGTTGAACATCTACTTGTGGTCTTTCTGAGATAACTTCCTCACATGTTGAACATCTACTTGTGGTCTTTCTGAGATAACTTCCTCACATGTTGAACATCTACTTGTGGTCTTTCTGAGATAACTTCCTCACATGTTGAACATCTACTTGTGGTCTTTAAAATGATAATGAGTAGTTCTCTCAAAAATACTTTCTAAAAAAGTGATATTGAATGGGAGATGGAGGATATTCTTATTTAAACATAGAAAACATAATTTGAATATTTGCAGCCTTGTTGGAAGCGAAAATGTTTTTAAAAAAAAAAAAAAAAATTTCTATTCTTGGCTGCTTACTTTTAATATCACATATCTCCATTTAACCTTGTAGAAAAATGTTCTGTTCATTTTTTGTATTCACATCAAATAATGATCAAAAAATTTGGGTTTCTGCAGAAATGTGTTCAAAGCACTTGTTTCGACACTTGAAATAATAAGCAAATATGAAAGAACCATGTAAAAAAATATGTCAAGTTGAATATATGAAATTGCAGATAAATAATGAGACAAAACTAATCTACAATCTTCACCTATTGAAACTGCAGAAATTTCCTTATTCACATAATTTGTATGTTGCAATTCTTTAATTTTTTTATAACATTTTGTTTATATTTATGAGTAGTAAGCACTTCCCTTTTTTCAATTTCTTTTTCAGAACTATCAATGACTGACATTTTAATCAGTTGACAGTTCCATAGATTTCAACGAACAACCATGAACAAAAATAGCAAATATTGTCTATGTGTATTATGAAAATGTTACAAGTTCGGGACTTGTAATGTTTTCAAAATAAACAATATTTAGTGCTTTATTAATTCGCATATCAAGATTTTTTTTTTTTTTTTTTTTTTTTAACATCTTCACTTCCAACAAGGCTGCAAGCAACCACTATAAGAGTTGGAAGTTACTGGAAGAGAAAAGACTAAATCTGTAGAGCAAGATAACGATTGACTGATGACTTAAAAGATTGCAAATTATATGAATGAGGAAAGCAAGATGAAGGAAGCGAATTCCAAAGAACTGATGTTCGAGGAAAAAAACTAGAAGAATAAGAGTTTTTGAAGCACTTAGGAACAGTCACAGAAAAAGGATGAGACTTAATTGAATGGCGAGTAACACGAGAGTGAATTTTAGTAGATGGCACAAGGGACGCTAGCTCTTTAGAGCAGTGCACATTATAGTATTTGTAGAAAAGAGAAAGAGAAGCAACATTACGACGATGTGACAAAGGTTGGAGATTGGCTGCAAGAGCAGGTCCAACTATGTTTACAATTCGTTTTTGCACCTTGTCTAAAAGAGAAAGAGCATCATTAGAAGATCCGCCCCAGATGTGGCAACAGTATTCCATACAGGGACGGATTTGAGATTTATAGAGATAGAGAATAGAATCTGGAGTAAGAAAGTGTCGAGCTCGATAAAGAGATGCAACCTTAGCAGATGCTAATTTTGCAATGGATTTGATATACGGTTTAAAAGAAAGATCAGAAGTAAGAGTTAATCCTAGAAGATGAATGGCAGATGACTCATCTAGTACATTACCATTCATAAATATAGGAAGATCTAAATTATTACGATAACGATTGGCCGAATAAAATTGAGTTTTATCTGAATTAAAGTTCACCAGCCACTGTGAGCCCCATGCTGTAGCAGAAGTGAAATCCTTTTCAAGCTCAGATACCCCCTCCAAGCAATCAGAGAGTGTAGGCTTCTTATCATGACAAGAGTAAATGGTAGTGTCGTCAGCGAATAATGCCACCTTAGATGTGAGAATATCTGGAAGATCATTAATGTAAATTAAAAAGAGTATAGGGCCAAGGATTGAACCTTGAGGAACCCCTGAAGTTACAGGATGTGAAGAAGAGTGTTGTCCATCGAGGACAACTTTTATACTACGATTGGAAAGAAAGGACTCAATAATCTTAAAGACGTTACCAGCTACACCATAAGAAGAAAGCTTATGGAGAAGACCAGCATGCCAAACTTTATGAAAAGCTTTAGAAATGTCAAGTGCGATAGCCTTAACCTCTCCACCTCTATCTAATGCACGGTAAAACCTATCGGTTATTACTGTTAGCACATCAGCTGTAGAACGAGAAGACCGAAATCCATATTGATGATCAGAAAGTAAGTTATTTGATTCAAGATGAGAGATTAAGTGTTTGTTGATTAAAGATTCAAAAACCTTGCTTATGACAGGAAGAAGACTAATGGGACGGTAGTTAGATGAATCAGATCGCTCTCCGGAATTTTTGAAAATAGGGATAACAGATGCTGCTTTCCAGCATGATGGAAAACAAGACTCTGATAAGCACTTGTTAAATAGTTTAGAAAGTATGGATGAAAGCTCCGGAGAACACCTCTGCAAAACTACAACAGGAATGTTGTCAGGACCACAAGCTGTTGAAGAGTCTAAGCAGGAAATTACTTTAGATACAGAAGCTGAAGTGATGCGAATGTCAAGCAAGGGATCAACCTGTTTGACGGCTATGTCAGGTAAAACGCAACTAGTGGAATCAAGAGATGATATTGATGAAAAGTTCTTAGCAAACAATTCAGCTTTGTCTTTAGGTGAGGTGACAAAGTCTGAACCATACAAGAGAGAAGGAATAACAGATTTGCCCTTATTATTGATACTGTTAAAGATTCTCCAGAAGTCTCGAGAGCCTAATTTTTGTGATGAGATACGAGATTTAATGACCTGGGAATAGCGAGCTTTGGCGTCAGACAAAACCTTTTTACAATGGTTTCTGGCGATAGTGAACAGATGTCTGTTTTCTGGAGAATTGTTTTGCTGATAGATATGGAAGTAACGGTTTCGATTAGAAATTGCTGCAGCGCAATGTGAGGAAAACCAAGGAGAAGAGTGAGGCTTGACCTGGAATCGTCGAGAGGGAATAAAAGATTCCATGCCAGCCTGAATCCACGAAGTTATGTAAGAAGCACATTTGTCAGCAGGAAGACGAAAGATTTCTACCC